ACACACACACACACACACACACACACACACACACACACACACACACACACACACACACACGATAATAACAGGAAGTGGACGGATGATTTAGAAAAGGCGGAGCTGTGATGTTGGATGTGTTGGATTTTTTTGGTTCAGGACAAAACTTAAACATAAACTTTAATATTTTCTCTGTGAGTAATTTAGAGAACTGAATATAAAACTTGGTACGAAATATTTTTAATGAATGATAAATACGAGTGTGATGTGACGAGGCAGTTCAACAGAAATATTCAACATTCGGACGTGGAGCCAAATAAACCCTGAAAAGAGTTTAGTTTTAAGTATTCGCTCGAGACATGGACGACATGAAGAAAAGAAGCCAACAGCCTCATGAACTCCACCTCCTCCATGTTAGCAGATGGGACATGGAGTAGACGTTGAGTAAATGTTTGTAAATCTGGTTTCTGTCGTTTCAGGTCGTTCTGCTCTCAGGCTGTGGGCGGTGTTCAGGTGGGTGGCGGCCCGTTGACGTATCTCAGCGCCACGTGGAAGCTACGGCGCATCCTGTCGCTACGGTGGCACGGCGAATCCTGGACAACCCAGGTGAGACAGGCCAGCAGGGCCAGAGCTGCAGCCAGGAGGAGGAAGAGGAGGGTCGGGGAGGAGGAGGCACCGCTGGACGTCACTCTGTGGAGGAGGAGGAGAAGGAGGAGAAGGAGGAGAAGGAGGAGGTGAGCGTGTTAGCAGCTGTGAGGATTCAGGGATCTGAAGGTTTTGAACAGTTCCGTCCTAAATGTGGACGTTGCTCAGGAAGCAGGACAGAAAACCAGATTGAACTGGATGTTCGTGGCTGTTGATCCTGATTCTTTACGTGACAACAAAACAGAAACACCATTTAAGAAAGAAGGAGCAGCACAGAGACAGAAAGAAAAGTCAAACAAACGAGTAGAGACCTGAATAAAAATCACCTCGTCGATTTGTAGAATTTGTTTTCAGAAACAGTTAAAAGTAATGATGTCATTCGGTTCCTGGGGAAATGATTCCCTCGTTTCCTCTGAAGGTGTCGACTCTTCACTATTTCTAAAATTCGGACTTTGTTCGAAGGGATTTTGATGCTGGACCAGATTAAATAAACGACTTCTCTAGATACAGATGATATTTAACACCACTTTAAATAAAAACTATTCTGGAATCTTTCATCCGACTTCGAACGGGACCTTCTTGGTTTTTCTCTTCACGACTCTTCTCTGATTTCAAATGTCTCCTCGTCCGTCATCGCTTGTGTCTGAATGTTTCTCACCTTCGTTTGGAGGAGTTCTGCTCAGCTTCTTCACAACAGGACGATTCTTCTTCAGCCTGAACAACAGAGAGCCGTTAGTTGATCCTCAGCCTTCAGAATGAATCAGTTGAGAGTTTAGCATCAGTTACACGACTTCTTAATGACTTCTCATTGACTCATTAACTATTGTAGTTCACTCACCTCGTTAAGCTAATAACATGATGCTCATATTAAAACCTGATGACCAGCTCTGGATCTTAATAACCTGAAAAACTGTGTGAAGTTGTTTTCAATGATTTTAAGATTAAGATCTTAATAATTAAGATTAAGATCCTATTATTATTATTATCATTATTGAAACCATGCTAGAGACTTTTAGCAAAAACTGATGAATGGTTCATTCAAACTGAAAGACGTTTTTTTTATTAACGTTTAAAATCGATATTCAGTCGTTTCTGATCTACGTTTATAAAATCTGTTCTCAAATCTTCATCTTGATTCAGCTGCAGAATGTGATGTGACGTTCCACAGCAACAAACAGCTTCAATCACGTGATGAAGGTTCTCATCAACGTGACGTCAGACTCGACCTTGAACAATTCTTATTCCAACTTCTCTTCATCTCCACTTCCTGTACGTTATCTGAACTTGATGTCAGTGACACAGAGGAAAGATGGAGTGAGGAAGAAGAGAGGAGAGGAGGAAGAAGAGAAGAGGGGGAAGAAGAGAAGAGAGGGGGAGAAGAGAGGAGAGGAGCAAGAAGAGAAGAGGGGGAAGAAGAGAAGAGAGGAGAGGAGCAAGAAGAGGAGAGGAGGAAGAAGAGAAGAGGAAGAAGAGAGGATGGGAAAGAAGAGGAGAGGGGGAAGAAAAGAAGAGAGGGGGAGAAGAGAAGAGAGGAGATAGAAGACAGGACAGGGGAAAGAAGAGAGGAGAGGGAAACAACAGAGGAGAGGAGGAAGTGGGCTTCGTGTTTCACTCCTGTTTTTATGGCGACAGTTAAAGTGCAGCCAGAGCTCGACACAAATCAAGACTTTATGGATTCATTCGGTGGCAGCGGACGAGATGGAGGGAGGACGAGAATAAACAGAGAACAAACAGACAATCTCTCCGGTAACGAGAGAGAGGAAGTGAAGACCGATGAATCTAATCCAGAGAGAAACTCGGAGAAGAGTCAGAAATCCATCTTTACTCGAGTGTGAGCCGACGTTTAGTTTGACTCCACCCACCGAGCTCACCACGTGAAAAACACGTAAATATGCTATAGCGTTATCAGGAAAAGTTCAAGCTCCGCCTCTGATTCCGTGTCACCCTCCAAACATGATTGGCTGGAAGGATGTCATGTGACAAGAAATGTGTAGAAACTCACGTAAACACAGTCGTAGGATCCAAATGATCCATATTTGACTTCAGTGGTTATTGTAACTCCTGATTCTGTCGTGAGGACGTGATCACATTTTATGGAAAACGTTATCTGTAATAATGCAAACGTGCAGATGTGTAGCTTGTGTTTCTAGTGTTTCAAAGCGTTGACCTGATGGTGGCGCTGTCGGCTGCTGAGGAGAACATGAATGTTTAAAGTTCATTTCATCCAATGACTGTTCCTGTTGAATCATGAGCCTGTTAATATGATAAATATATTCAGCTTAAGCAGATGATGGAGGAAGACGGTTGACATCATTAGCGTTCACTGACGGTGAAGTCACAGATTCATGTCATTAGTGCAGCGAATAAAAATCTAATTGTGTTGTTAAATTGTTAAAGTCACATTCCTTATGTGCATGATGGGAAATTAAGTATTTAAGCAACAAGGAGCTGTTTCAGAGTCAAGATCAAATTAATTTAGTTACGACGACTCTGAACCTGACGCTCCGCTCGTCAGACTTTTTAAAATTATTTATATTCTTCCATTAAAAAAGAAAGTTGGTCCCCACAAGGTCAGCTCTTCATTTCTTGTGTGTGAGAAGAGCTGGAGCTGGAGCTGGAGCGGGCCGAGTTGAGTTTGAGCGGCAGGGTTTGAGTTTTACAAATAATTTGAACAAGCGCCTGCTGAAGAAGAAACATCGAGACACAAACACAGGGAAGCAAAATGTGTTTTTATCGTTGAATGAAAACCTCATGAAAGGTGCGTTCACTGACCCTCACCTCGTCAGTCTGCACAGCTTTGGAACAACAGGAAGTCCTTCTCTCTGGAGGGGTGGGGCTCTGAACTCCCAGCCACGCCCTCACTCGCCCGCCATCAAAGCTGACTGGATCGTTGTTCCGTTCATCGGGCGTCGAGGTCGCCCACTGGTCGTCGCTCAGCCGTGGCTCCTCCTCCTGGGTCGCTGCTGGCGAGAAGACAGCGGGGTGGGTGTGGTCCAGCCGTCCCAGACGCTGCACAGACAACAGAGGAGTTCACTTCTTTTACTTACTACTTTCATTCTAATGTGTGTGTGTGTGTGTGTGTGTGTGTGTGTGTGTGTGTGTGTGTGTGTGTGTGTGTGTGTGCGCTCACCAAGTCTTCTTCCTGGTTTGTGATGTCATTGCTGATGTCAGATTGACAGCTGCGCGAACTGAAGAAGCTCCACCTCTTCAGGACATCTCCTGCAGAGCACGCACGCACACGCACACACACACACACACACACACACACACACACACACACACACACACACACACGTAAACTAAACTAAGAAGGTGACGGTGGATAAACGATGTATGACGTGGACATGTGACGTGGACATGTGACGTGGACATGTGATGTGGACATGTGACAGTAAAACAGCAGCTCAACACAGACAGTCGAACGTCTCCTCCCGACGTCAGAGACTAACCACCTCTACCTGTGCTGACACTGAAGTACGACGAGTCGCGGTCGTCACAGGAAACAGAGCGTCCGATATCAACGGAAGGGTCCCACTCCAGCCCCAGGTGCTCATGGTTAGGAGAGGGAGGAGGAGGAGGGTGGCGAACGGGGGAGGGCGGGTCTGAAGGGAAGGTCAGGGTGGGGTTAGCTGATTGGCCGCTGACTGGAGAAGAGAAGGAAGATTTGATTTGATTCTTGATTGACAGATTTATGATTGAATTAAAATTTCTGACGTGTCTTTTACCTTTAGGATGGTTTGAAACCACAGGAGCGTCCAGGTGAGAGTTATCAGGAGCTCCCTCGTCCTCTAACAGAGACTCTGAAGGACAACCTGAGTCTGTGGCCAGAATCCATTCGTCCTCAAATACCTGCAGGAGGAGCAGGAGGAGGAGGAGGAGGAGGAGGAGGAGGA